GCGGCGGTGCTTGCTCCCACTGTCAGAGTGCGTGGCCGCAGATGATCGGCGCTGTTGTTGGCGTCGCTGGTGCCGTGCCTTGTTTCTGGTGTGTGTAACGGGCATCTCTGCGCAGGAGGGAAGCGATGGATCCCCTGCCGAATCCAGCGCCCCTGGCCTCGAAGCTGCGGAACACACTGGTTCGGTACCACAGCATCGGAGATAGCGAGTGGCGTGTGGCGAAGAAAACCGTGAGTGCTCTGCGCGGCGTCCCGATCCGTGCTGCCGGGGAAGCTGTAGATCACTTTGTGCAGTGGGAAGAGCCCATTGAGCCCTGTCACACGGGTGTGAGGCGTTTGGCCAGCTTCTGCAAGACTTTGATATGACAGCTGTCGTGACACCACCCTTCTAGGGCAGAACAGAGATGTCAGAGTGTTTTTCCTGCTTACAGACATACTCTGTCATTCTTTCTACCCATTTTCAGGGAAGTATCTCCCAGAAGAATTGTATCTGTCTAGGGCTATAGACCTGACTTAAAGCAAAATTTGAAGTAGTTAGCAGTAATAGTATTGCAGGACTCTCACATGTACTTTGAACAAACCACTCACAGTCTGCAGGTGGGCTCTGCCAGAATTTGGAATCACTTTTGAATTAATGCTTGAGCCTATCCATCATGCTTCAGTTTCCAAATGCCTTCCTCCTAAAAAGTGAGATAATTCTCAAATCTATTTCTTGTATTTCTTTACGTTTCCATTGCCTCTGGAGCCCCTACATTATGCTAAGTTTTCTTCCATGAAAGGGAATGCAGTTCCTCCTTTTTCCAAGCACTTTGCTGTACCCTTCTTTTGAGCTGCCTGAGTGTTTTGAGTCCTGCTTCAACAAGCTAAATAGGCTTTGCTGGTGATCAGTTCTAGGCTGGGTGAATAATTCTTAGTCCTGTCCTGCATAGGAGGTGGAAATGTAGGTGGATATTTTAGTGTAGTAATGTGGTAGGACGAGTGTGGTAAATTTCTTTGTCCTTTTGTTAGGATGGTTTGAGTGGGGCTTCTTTTTCGCCTTCATGAACAGACATTGATAAGAGAGAGTCGGATGTTCCAACAGTAACTTGATTATTTGCAAAATTAACATATTCATGGTCTTGAAAGGGAGGAACAGAGCATCCAACCCTTTCACTCATGTATTACACCTATACCACCTCTGCTCTACTACATGTTAAATCTATTGCATTTGTGAGTTAAGGGTTATGTTAAGTACTATTGTATTCCTTTAGGAGGTTACCTGCATCTCAGTGTTTCAAATCACACTCCCCAGATTTTAATCCTGTAAAATTTCTAGTTTGACTCCCTCCCTCCCTCATTCTTTTCTTTCTGTTTTGGTACCATGCCATGTAAAAGACATCCAGACCTTTAACTGCCACCAAGGAGATGTGTTTTGCCCCAAAGTATCTTCAACAGATCTGGATGCAGTACTGAACAGTACTGTGCTTTAGGACGTTTGGTCTTTTGTGCTTATATAATCATGATTCCCAATAAAACAGTTCCAAGTCTTTCACACTAGACTTCAGAGATTTTGTAGAAAGATTCTGTTTCATAGTTAAGACGAAGATCCGAAGATACTGGTTTCTTCATTTTCTCTGTGTAACTTTAAAATAAAAGACTACTGCTTGCAAGAGACTTCTAGTCAAGCATGTAGGAGAGAAGGGTAACTTCAGCTTTCTTGTCTGCCGCTGTCATCATGTCCTGCACACATCTGTTTGGTCATGTATTACAGGAATGAGAGCAGAAGTTGTGTGGTCTCCTTGTTTGAGCAGCATCCAGCTAATGGCTTTCCAGTTGCCCTTTGAAAGGCTTTGCCTAGAGTGTGGTTCCACTATTCTGTGTGTTTTCATGTTTAACTGGCTTAGCCTACCAAGCCCTGTTTCTGCACAGACTTCAAGCACTTGACACTGAGGCAATTGTCTGATTTTTTAAAAGAATGGAAGATTACAAATAAAGGATACCTGACCCATCTGCTTCTAAGAAAAGTGTAAAGAAGTGCCCAGGTCAGTGAGCACTTTGGGGTGAATCATAGGCAGTGGTAAAATTGGTTGCTTTTCTTCAGGAAAATTGAAGCATTTTCTGGACGTCTTACAATGTTATGTAAGTAATAACATCATATCTTGTGTTTTCTTTCAGAAAGATGCAACTGTGTGGCGCAAACCATCAGAGGAATTCAGTGGATACCTGTAAGTTTGCCTGCAAAGTGGATAAATTTTTAAGCTTTGACACATGTTCTGTAGACTTTAGAAATTATGGTTATGAATTCTGCAGCCCTCAGCTGCACAGGTTCTCCAGAGGAGAAGTTAAATGGGTTATCTGTTCTCCCTGTACTTTTTCTTTGTAGTGTCATGCTTTGATACTTGAGCATTACATGGTGTCTAGAACAGCAAACAATGAACTCTGTGAAACATACCACATAACTCTCATTGGCTGAAGTGGGCAACAACATCTGCCCAGAAATGATGGCCTGCAAAGCACAGAATGAAGTCTGGATTGAGTAGGCCTGAAGTGTATTGGGTGAGAACCCAGTTAGTGCTTGGACTGTTACATTGACTGTGTGACAACAGTAGAGTAAAATGACGAGTGTGTAGTTGTGGGAAAGATGTGTGACATGAAGGCTCTTCTGTGTGAGTTTCTGTCGCTGGATTTTGTTGGTATCTGGAGGTTTAAGTAGAGAGATAGTTGCTAGAAAACAATACTCTGAAGAAACAAAAAGTCATGTGAAAAGGAGGTATTTGAAAGGATCTCATAGACTCATACATGTTGAAGAATGTAAGTCCTGTTGAATCTGCAACAGCTGATTACACCAAGAGTGTGCTAGCTCTGTGCAGGCCCACTGGCGTCAACGGGTTGTGTATTTGAGCCACTGCCAGGAGGGCAGTGACTGCTATGTGCAGGTGAAGATCCCAGGGTTGTTTATACACGTGGAGAAATAAAGGATGCTTTCAAGACCTTTTCAAACACCTCCCTGGAATCCACTGATGTGTTCACATGGTTCTCCAGTTCCAAGTATACAGCTGAGATTGGCTCCATACAGACAATTATGAGTGACTGATTGTGGGTGAATTGCACAAGCAAATAGGTGAATCTGTTGCTTGACTAGTTATCTGCTAATGAATGCAGAGTATTTTGAAAATAATGTTCCTGATAGATTTTTCCCCTTCAGAAACAGGAGGCCCAGTAACTCTACCAAACAAAATCTGTGGTACCTGCTGAAAATATCTGATAACAAATGAATGTTCTGTAATGTCTTATACCAAATTATTTTGTTTGGTACTCTTACATGCCACTAAAGCATAATGTAGTTTTGCTATAGCTTAGTTCTACTACTGTTACTTCTGCTTTATGAAAAATGTTTTCCCCATTGTATTCCTGATATCCTTTTCACTTTTAGCTTTACTTGTCCCTGGTGAACTCCCTTGCTAGCCCAGCAAGAGGAGACAGATAACAAGTTGTTGGAGAAATAAACAGGATAATTTTTATCTAAGGAAGGAGATTGCTATTTATAAAATATTAATGGCAGAAAAAAAAGTCTCTCAGAATAGCATTTATTGCAGAGAAGAATAGATGAACCTGTACTGTACTGTTTTGCTGGTGCAATTGTCCACTGACCATACCTCCAAGTACAAAGGTATTAATGTGAGTGTACTGTTGCAAATCAATAGAATATAAAGAATTTCTCACTTTTAAATGCAAACTTATGTTTTTCTAGCTACAAAGCTCAAGGAGTGGTGGAAGATGTAACTAACAGAATAGTGGATCATATTCGCCCTGGACCTTATAGACTAGACTGGGACAGCTTAATGACTTCAATGGACATCTTGGAAACATTTGAAGAGGTGAAGACTTGTTTAGATTCTTAAGGGAAATGTGTATAGATGGATATATGAATTTAACAGTACAGCAGAGCAGTAATTCCAACAAATACTAACATTTTTCAGCCCATTTTCTGCATGCATGTGGGGTATTATGCATACACATATTGTGTGCCCTCAGATGAGGCTTTCTGGAAGCACAGTCTTTCTCAAGCTTGAAGTTCATCCTTCCATCAGTGCTAAAAACAAAGGAGTCAGTCACAATTCTCTTGGACCTGGTAGCTCTGCTAGCCTCTGATAAAATTCATGTATAGAGAGCTACAATGTGATATTTTATATGCCGAGGTAATTTCATAGAGCTTGCTTTCTTCTGTTCCGCAACAAACAATAATAATAATCCACACATACAGAAGCTACAACCTCTCCCTCTTCCTAAAAGGCTGACTTGTGTGGCATGGCTTTGTGCTGAGAAACAAAACAGTTTATACTGAGGGTTGGGACTTGATAAAGAAAGGTAGGTTTGAAGTTGATTACAGAAGAGGTGGTAGCCTCGCTTTGATTACAGCAGACGTTCAGTATGACTTCAACATCCTGTAAACATCTGGCTTGAACATGGATTGTCCTTTGCTCTGTCTTTTAAGGAAGATGTATATGACAAGGCATTTTTGCTAATTATTCCCTAAAATTTGTACAAACTATTGTCATATAAGAAATCCTGTTTTGAAGAACTGTTCACATTCTGTTTTATTTTTCACTTTGTAGATTAGAAGTATTTGATAGAGCCTCTTAGTACCAAGAGAATCCTCGTGCAATCTGTTCATGGTACTTTCAGACTTCCTAAATAATAGTGATGTAAGAGCCATGTGGTTTTCAGTTCCTAGGGATGAGACACTTTTACATCTTTTAAATCTTTAGATTTAAAGATCTTTTAGATCTTTAAACCATTGTGGTCCCAGATATTCTCGGCTTCCACAGGTCTCAGCTGTAGACTACAAGTCCTTACGACTTCCAGCATATAGATTGAAAATGGCCCAGCCATTCAGACCTCACTGAATTTGTTTGCACAGCATATCTGGCAGAAGCTGTGATCTTTGCAAAAAAATACTAGCTGTCTTCAAGCCTGTATTTCCCTGCATTCATTGTATTAAGATATTTTTGTTTTCTTACTCTCCTTATTCTGTCACTCAACAAGAACTGCTGTGTGATGCGCTATACTACTGCTGGCCAGCTCTGGAACATCATAGCACCAAGGGAGTTTGTTGATTTCTCTTACACCACAAGCTACGAAGATGGGCTTCTATCATGTGGTAAGCCACCACTTGCCTCTGCTTATTTCTTATTTTGCAACAGCTGCTTGGCATAAGATTAGATTTAAAGTTTAGTCCTGCAGTAGACATTCTGAAAATGGCATAAGACAGTCTCCAACTAATAAATTCAAGGTGTTTTAACATTTCACAGATTTAAAGAAGTGTGCTTATTTACCCATGTGCCAGCCATGTGTGACAGGTTTCACTTACATCAGCTGTGGGACAGGAGTAGTAGAGACAGGTTGAGTCCTCCAACTCAGAGCAAACTGGGAGGAGTAACAACTTGCTCGGTTTTCTAGTAAATGGGAGGAATGTCTTTTTAATATGTGAATTTTTGCTTAGCATGCTGACCTTGTCAGTTATCAAGTTTGGATGACGAGCAGCTTTCATGCATGTATGTACCTAGAAACTTGAAGTGTGTTTGTCACTTCTGTTAATTCCCACAGCAGAGGCTTGCATTGTTCAGATTTACTGCACCTTGATTTTTTTATCTGTCTCAAATTAATTTCCTTTTTTTTTTTGTTTTTACTTTTTTTCTTTGATAGGTATAAGCCTAGACTATGGAGACGTGAGACCTAACTTTGTCCGTGGATTCAATCACCCTTGCGGTTGGTTCTGCATCCCTCTTAAGGACTATCCTAGCCACAGTCTTTTGACAGGCTATATTCAGACTGAACTGCGAGGGATGCTACCACAATCTGCAGTAGACACTGCCATGTCTAGTACACTGACCAATTTCTACTCTGACCTCAAAAAGGCACTCAAAACATAGACCAGTCAGGACTTAAGAGCCCATGCATTTCTTGCAATCAGATTATAGTGCTTACTTTAGTATAGCTACTATATTTAGTTAAGGTTAGCCACTGAGTTGAGATAAGTAACAGTGTTATCATTGTTGAATGATACCTGAGACCACATGGTGAGAGATCCAAACAACTTTGTATCTCAAATACTTTTTGACATGATACTTTGCATACATTCCCAATGCATGGTGCAAGATTGTTTTTGTTGCACAGCACTCTGCAGCTGTATGAGGGATGGCCTGAATCTAGAAACCCCTGGTTTCATCTGTAGAAGACACAAGATGCATATGGGGTCTTAAAAAATGCAGTATGAACTCAGCTCTCTCCAACAGTATTGGGAGTTGAGCACTCAGGAATTTGCTGGTGCAGGTTGCTGTACAGGCAGCATCTCGCTGACGATGTAATTTTGTAAAAAAAAAAAAAAAATTAAATTTTTGATTTATTTAGTTTGCCCAGCTGCATCTGTAATTTGTCTAAAAAGTTTGCTTCAATTTATCATAGAAATATTGTATAGCTAAGTTGTTAAATGATATTATTCATAAGAAAGCTATTCGCACTTGTTAGCAAAAATTAGTGCTCATTATTGGCATTTCTTTGATATTCTAACTGTAACTTATTAGCTGTTGTATATAACAGTGCATAGTTATAGAAATGCCCTTACAGCTGATCCAAAGCTCATGTGAGTCATCAGGTGTCTTTCCATAGTTTTTTGTGGCCTTTTAATCACACAGTTGTCAAAATAGCAAACCTCCAATCATTCTTCCATGATACCCTGCACTTCTAAAGAATTTTTTACTTAAATTTGCATGTGTGTGTGTTTGGTTATTTTTTGTGTGTGTCTGTGTGGTTGTGTGTATTTCTTCCTTATCTGAAAATCCTGGAATTACAAAAGCAGCAGAAAGAGCCACTCATTTGCTTCAGGAATAGGCATTGCTGTAGGCACAACAGCACAGACTGCCAGTCTGCTGGTGCCTTAGAGTGTTCTATAGTAATACTCCTGGACTGATCTTTGCAGTAAATTAAATTAGCATCTTAAAACATGAGCAACTGTAGTCCAAAGCTCGAGCTGCAGAATTGCTCTGATCTGCTGAAGGATGAAGGGTCCTTTTTTAAGGCCCCAATTTTTAAGGGTATTCAGCAACATAGTGTTTTTGACAGGTACATAGCAGGGGAATTCAAAAGATTGCTGTATGTGCTGCTAGGAACCTGAATTCTCTTTAAAACTTGCCATTAAGCTTTTAATATTGGTGTGTGTCATTTGCTCAGGTGAGACTGTAATTATCCCTATGCTTTACCAGCGCTCAGAGGCAAGTTTAACTGTGTAGTAGTTAGGGAAAATACCTTGGAGCCCTGATATTCTGGAGCCAGTAGTATACACACAATCCAAGGACTGGTAGTGAATTCTCAGAAAAAAACCAAATTCAGGTGAAATTTTTTTCCATGCAATATTGGCTTTTTTGACACTGACTGCTGTAGCTGAACTCTGTACAGTGAGGACCTTTCTTTCTCATTGCTCAAAGAGGTAGAAAAAACCCACGTTCTGGCTTTTCCAATGTGCTTCCTGTTTTAAGGCATTTAGCACTGTTTAAGACTGTTAAAAACAATGCATCAAACAGCCTTTGATGTCTTCATAGGCAGAAAATGTTAACTCCCTATTGGGTTTTGTGTATTCCGCAGTTCCCTTTATACTCCTTAGTTAGTCTTCCCACTGTTTTTTTTCCTTCCTTGTGCCCCCCGAAGTACTGGAAGGTCACGAGGCAATGTTTCACCACCAAGGACACCAAGGAATTGGTATCAGCAGACTGTGCTGTTTCCTTACTGCGAGAGCACACTCCTTTTTAATACTGGTACAAAGGCAATTATGAAAGCTCTAGCAGTGCTGCATTGTGGGATGAATGCTGACATGGTTGTAGAGGAAGCTGTTTGAAGTGTACCCTATTTGTTCTTCCCAGTTACAAAGAGTACATATGCAGTGAATCTCCATGTCTAATTTTTTTAAACTGCTGGAACTAACTAATTAAGGGGTTGTGATACAGTTGCATATAGAGAAAAATGTTCCATTGCTATGTAAAAATCCTGGTTTAAATCTAAACAGAGGCACGTCAGTGCTGGGGAAATGGGTCAAAAGGAGCACAAGACTCTTACAGGAGGATGTTTGTACTACACTCTGTACTGCAGAAACATTTGAGAGATTCCTGTTCCACACATTCGTTTTAGGGGCTCTAACACTTCTAGAGCATCTATCCCTATGTAGTAATCAGTGAAATGGCCTTTTGAGTTTTCAGTGAAGATAGGCTGATGAAGCACAGAGCAACTGAAGAAAGAAGAACTTTGGTTTAAATGTAAGAAAATTGTTACTGTATTTTAAGTATGTTATTGTTTTTAATAAACATTTCATTTCAGCTATAAAGTAATTGAGAACTAGAAGAAAGATGGCCAGTTTTGTAATGTGTTGTATTTATTTGAAAATCAAAGTTTATATGATTTTTATATAGCTATAGATGGAGAGGAGTGCAGAGCTGTTCTTTAACCAGAGTACATCAGAACCAAGAAAGCCACAAAATGAGAGCCTCTTTTCCCACCATGGTATTCTTTGCCTCCTAAGTTAGATGGAGCCAAAATAGTTACAACAGGAAAGCAGTTGAAAGGACAAAGCACAGGAGCCCATGTTTTGCTTAGTCAAAAGAAATGGGAGCTGAAGTAAATTACCTAGTGTAGATCTCTGTTACTTAAAGAATGTTTTAATTAAATTGGAATATAGTTATCCAGAAGTGACTTCTGAACAAGTTGCCCAAGAATACCAGAGACCTGTTTTTGCTAGGGAAATGGCATGTGTGTAGCCACATCAAAATTATTTTTATATAGATAATATTTTTAAAATAAACTTACTTTTTTAGAGGTTTAGACAATATGATGATTTAATCTTCAGCACTTTAACTAGGTGCTGTGTGTGTGTATGGGAAAGGTGACTAAAGACAATTTTCATGTTTAGATTCTGTTCCTCATCTAAAACCTCCAGCATTAAACCTTGCTGGCAGTTGTGCTCTTTATTTTACATATGCAGAAGGTAGAGATTGGGCTAAGTTCAATTTCAGGGCAGTCCAAGGTACTACTCTTAACACAGCTTGCTGGGAGGAGGTCCAGTACTTCAGATGGGCATTCTGTGCACAGGCCTTGATCTCAAAATTGATGAACTTACAATGAGAACCTTGATGAATTTATAAAACACAAAAAGAGCGTATAATTCCTCCATAAGTAAACAGAAATGTTTGGATTGTGCAAGCTAGTGATTAAACTAGGAGGTTCACTGCTGTAAAAATAGCCCAAATTTGAGTGAAACCAGTCAAATTGTGCCTATGTACAGAAAGTCAAAGTCAGTCTGTCTTAACAGTGGTTTACCTTACTGTGTTCATTTAAGCAATTGTATTTATATTTTGAATGCAGGTGCAGAATACATTAAAATCATGGACTCCAACAGACTCATGATGTAACTTTTTCAATACTCATGCAACTGGATGCAGCATTCAGTTGCTTTTGGGGGAGTTATGTCTGGTAATATAGTTCATCTTCAGCTGCATAGTGATCTCTAGTGGTATCAATTTGTCTCTTTAAATTTGAAAGCCATAAAGCCTATCTTTACTTAGAAACTTGATTTAGGCTGAGGCAGATGCCCAATTCAGACCTCAGCTAAATTGAAATATCTTGAAAACTGCAGAAATTGGATTTTCTCAAAGCTTCAATTCTAGGAATATATGTACAGGGTTGTGGGTTTTTTTGATCTGCCCATGATTGCTGTGGAAGAACTTTTTTATTTTGGCTTAGTATTACTTATCTTTTAATATACTTAAGAAATGTTTAGTGTGTTAAGAAATTTTAACCATCAAAATTAAATTAGTCCAAAACATGTGAGCATGTAGCACCTTGCAGAAGGCATATAAATGTACATTAGGCTTATAGAACATTCTGCCAACATCTAGATTGACATGTACTTATTGAGCACCTACAGAAACAAAGAAAATCCTGGTATCTTACGTAGAATCTTTCCTTGTTTTTCATACTAAGCAGGCATAAAGACAGAGTTCTGTAGCATTGACTTCGGTGGAAAAAAAAAGTGGCAGCCCTGTTGCTGAGAAAAGGAACTGTGACCTCTGAGATACAGCATACTCTTGTAGGGCACGTGTCATGCTGCCTTCTCAAAGTGAGGTAGAAATAGATATAGAGGCCTCTTTGGATCTTTGGAAAATGATTGAGGACATTAATTGGAATTATTAAAAGAAAATAGCGATGTTTAAACTCATTTCCTGGTGAAAGATAATATGAAGATATGAATCTTGAGGAACTGTGACCTCTGAGATACAGCATACTCTTGTAGGGCACGTGTCATGCTGCCTTCTCAAAGTGAGGTAGAAATAGATATAGAGGCCTCTTTGGATCTTTGGAAAATGATTGAGGACATTAATTGGAATTATTAAAAGAAAATAGCGATGTTTAAACTCATTTCCTGGTGAAAGATAATATGAAGATATGAATCTTGAATGCTCTTTAAGAAAGAATATATCCTGAAGTGCTAGACCACTGTTTACACTTGGTAATGCATTCTGCCTTTTTCAATGCTCATTGCACTGTGCTGGTGACTGCTGGCGACAGTACAGGTAAGGACTGATTACCATAGGGTTAACCTTCTTCAGGATTGTGCCACTAGTGGGGAGAAATCAGGCACAGATAACAGCACATGGCAGGAGATGCCTGTGCGTGTTTCACAGCTGACCCACAGAAGAAATGTCACGTCTGGGTTAAGGAGCCTCAAGTCCAAACACATTACCCAGAACTATCTTCTCTGAAGTGATTTTCTTTAAAAAGTCTGTCAGTGTGTCAAGTCACTATGATGCCCTAATAGTCCTCAAAAATGCTTCTTTGATGTAGACAACATAGGTGAAGCTATTAGAAGATCATTTACTGTCCAAAGTGT